TGGCTCGACGGCTCGATGGACCGAGGTGGGGTCCGTCGAGAATCACGCTAGTGAGCGACGCGTTCCTGCCGCCAGTTCTCACGATGTGCCATCCATGGCGTGATATGTGCCTGAGCTGACTGAGCTGGAGAATAGCAACCGTACGACCTGTATCTTTGCCGGTAAGCTGGATTCTACGGCTGCTTTGATGCCACCGGATGGTGTGCCAGTGCAGGACCTCTCAACATGATCTCAAGACGCCGGAAGACGGCGGACAGCATACTTGTCAGCCTCCACTTCCCTTCCGACCCTGGCTTCGGTATCGGAACTTCATCCGAGCGGATAGTGATCTGCGCAAGCATCTGCAGCAAGCTTGCTGCTCAAATATTTACGTGCAGCCTAGGCAGACATTTGGGGTGAAGCAATGCTGGCAAACACGGCCGTCGTTAACATGTAAACTCCAACCAAGTGGATGTGTGAATGCATTCGATTGCTCTATATGTTCATGATCCATTCCTCAATGCATTCCATAATCTCCCTCCGCAGCAATGGTCCTCTGGCATTCAGCGAAAATAGCAGCCTGCCTGGCTACATCAGCCAGTCGCCCAACGACTTGCTTGTTACCATCCAGGAAACCGTATAACGCGTACGGTATGTCTACCTCGTTACAAAACTCCTGCACCAACTTTTGGGTCTGCCTCAGATTGTGCCGAGGGATTCTCGGATACAGGTGGTGGATAGCCTGGAACTGCAGGCCACCATGGAAGAAATCCAACCATTGCGGGCAGTCAACATCCATCGTCGTACGAAGCATCTTCTGCGCAAAGGATTCATGAATACCCAAATCTGCCGTACTCATAGCGAAATGAGACAGCGTGATCTGCACGTGAAGCGGCGACGTAACGGCGTGGGCAATCAAGACGAACCAGAACCGGCTCCAGTTGTCGGGCATGGTCTTGCACACGACTCCATAGCCGAACCAAGTCCAGTAGAACAACATGCCCACCATCTCGAAATATCGGTGCCACCAAGCTGGTCCTTTCTTGGGCCCCTTTCCAAGGATCAAATACATCCAGGACAGTCTGTAAAGATTGAAACGCGCTACCATCATGATCGGGTAATATGTGTAGTGCTGTAGCGGGATCATGACCTTTGCGAATGCATCGTAGTCCATGGCCCACTCGTAAAAGGTTGTGGTGAGACTCTCCATGAACCGATGGGTGATGGCGAAGAAAGGGATGTATTGTATATCTGGATCGTGTTCGGGGTGGTTCGTAACGAGATGATGGACGTTGTGGCTGTATTTCCACCAACAAGCACTCAAGCCGCCCAGGTAGGAGGCGATGAACATTGCGATGGTCGAGTCAGTCGTGAAGTCGTGAGTGATGCCCATGTGTCCAGCATCGTGGACAGTGAAAGTGAGCTGGTGCCAAAAGCACGCAAGCGGTACGGCACTGGTGATGTACCACCCCTGCGTCAGCAGGAATATGAAAGCGGCCAAGAAAGACCCATAGCGTAGGCACTCGATACCGTAAGCAGTGTAATTGCAGTCGTAGAGGCCTTCTTGCTTTATGCGCACTTGCAAGTCGCGGTATTTTTGAGTGATCCGATCTTGAGTGGCCGGGTCCAGGGACGGGTATTTGGCCTTGTCGAAATCCAGCTCTTCTTGAGTCCGCCTGTCAAGCACTGTCATCTTCGGAGTGACCCTGTCATCTAGCTCGACCGATGAGACGCTTGAGTTCGAGGAAGCCCTGGTGACATTGGCTCCGTTGCGTTTGCGGGCCGAAGCAGACGGCCGATCTGCTGGTTCGAAGAGCGGGCTGCTGTCTGCCGAAGAGGCTGAGCTAACAGTCTCCTGTTCTGAAGAGGAGCACGATTCCATGTACTCCTCCTCTGAGAGTCTATCCAGCTCTTCCTGTGTCCGGAACTTTCCTCCCTGTATCGGCGGCAGGAAGTTGGTCCATCGTCCTTCGATACGGCCGACTTGGTAGCGATTCATGAGCTCGAGCGTCTGCGCAGAGTGGAATCTGGGTGCACAAGTCAGCATTAAGCTTTCCTGGGCAACACGGGAGACCATACCGAGTGACTTCGTCTGTGGCATCTCGTCCCACCATGTGCGCGATGGCCTTGTCACCGCCTGGGTGATAGGGCAGCCATGCGTCCACCTTCAAGACCTTGCCGTCTACGATGACAATTGAGCGTCCATTGGCGATCTGGGCCTCGATCTCTCTTCGACTGAAGACTCTCGACTTCCTGTCTGCCCGGGCGGCCATGTTGCGGTGCGGTGTGGTACACGAAGCGTGCACAAACGGGTGTCCAGGTGCGGGCTCAATTGACGAACGAAATTCAATGTACAGACAATCAGACCATAGCTTCGCGGCGTCTCAGAAGGAGCTAGGCGTTGCGGTGAGCTGCGCCGGAGCCAGCCAGTGGAACAGGAGAGCGTGAGCTGATAAACTTCCGAAGCTTGCCCGCCAGGACCCTGCACGCCCCCACGTTCCTCGCCACCCCAGAGCCGCATCCCGCAACGACCTCACATGTCAAGCTGAGAGCGTGTGTGGCCCTGCAGCGCCGTATATGTAAGCAACAAGTCACCAGAATCTACACGTGAGCTTTGAGAAATTTCAAAGTCTTGGAGAGCATCAATGCGGCAGGTGCCCACTTGAGATTGCTATTGCGCGCTTTCTGTCGGCAAACTCCGACACTCCATCACCTTCTACTTCGTGACCTTTCTCTGCCAAGTGGCATTTGCTGACTTCCACTCTCAATTTCATCCTTTCTCAGAACAAATCACATCACCCAAGGCGTCCTCCAGAGTTCGAGATTCCAATCATGACCCGAGATATCAAGGACTTAGCGAAAGAGTGGCTGGAGCTCGACGAGGACAAATCAACGACAGATGAGATCTACAAGTTGTTAGTGGATGGCGATACCGATGAACTCGAAAAGCGACTTCGACATCGTATTGCCTTCGGCACAGCTGGACTCAGAGGGCCCATGCAGGGCGGCTTCGCCTGCATGAACTCTCTGACAGTGATTCAAGCCTCCCAAGGACTAGCAGCGTACCTACTCAAAACCGAAAAGAACGTTGAGAGAAGGGGTGTGGTCATTGGGCGGGATGCGAGGCACAACTCGGAAAAGTTTGCCAAGCTCACCGCAGCTGCATTCGTCGCAAAGGGCATCAAGGTATGGTGGTATGAGGACCCAAGCCATACGCCAATGGTTCCCTTTGGCGTGCGCGAACTCGACGCCGCTGCTGGTATTATGATTACTGCAAGTCACAATCCGGCCAAAGACAACGGATACAAAGTCTACTGGTCGAACGGGTGCCAGATCATCCCCCCACACGACGTCGGAATCGCCGAATCTATCATGGAGAACCTCAAGCCTGTCACTTGGGACACGACTGTGATAGAGTCTTCTCTTTTGGTGGAAGGAAGTCTGGATTTGGTACAAGACAAGTACCACCAGGCTGTCTTATGCGCCGCCCAGCCCGAGCATGTCAAGGTCAAGATGGACCCAGGGCTCAGGTTCGTGTACACGCCGATGCACGGTGTTGGACTTCCCGCGATGCAGCGATGCGCAGAGACACTTGGTGTAGCCTCGCAGATGACTGTGGTGGAGGCTCAAGCGCAGCCAGACCCCGACTTCCCCACAGTAAAGTTTCCGAACCCCGAAGAGAAGGGAGCGCTCGACCTGGCAATCGAAACGGCAGAGAAGTCATCGATACGTCTGATTCTCGCCAGCGATCCCGATGCAGACCGCCTCGCGGCAGCAGAGAAGGTAGGAGACAAATGGCACATCTTCAGTGGAAACCAACTCGGAGCGCTTCTTGGATCTTACCTCTTCAAACGCTACCCCGCGTCGAAACCGCGAGAAAAGCTTGCAATGCTGGCTTCTACTGTCAGCTCCAGGATGCTCGCAGCTTTGGCAAAAAAGGAAGGTTTCAAGTTTACCGAAACGTTGACCGGGTTCAAGTGGCTTGGAAACGTAGCGCGACAACTCGAGAGCGAGGGCTACGATGTTGTGTACGCCTTCGAGGAAGCCTTGGGATACATGATCCCTCAAACGGTACACGACAAAGACTCCATCAGCGCAGCCGCAGTCTTCCTAACCGCTGCATCGCATTGGTCCACCCAAGGCCTCACCCCCTACGCCAAGCTACAACAGCTCTACCAATATCTTGGCTACTTCGAGGACGCAAACACATACCTCGTTTCGCCATCGCCATCCGTGACAACATCGGTGTTCACAGCCATCCGTGCACTGGGCAGCCCCCACCCAACCTCGATTGGCTCCCGCAAGATCGCGCGCTGGCGAGACCTGACCCTGGGCTATGACTCAAAGAGCAAGGACCACAAACCCGATCTACCGGTTGATGTCACTAGCCAGATGATCACCTGTGAGCTAGATGATGGGGCTGTGTTTACAGTCAGAGGCAGCGGGACGGAACCGAAGATTAAGCTTTATATTGAATGCCAGGGGAAGAGTAGCGGGGAGGCGAAGAAGGGCGCTAATGAGATTTTGGGGGATCTTCTGAGGGAGTGGTTTAAGCCTGAGGAGAATGGTTTGAGACTGGCTTAGAGTAGGTGAGGTGTTGACTGATTCAGACACTGTTGTTATTGCCAAAGTTTGGCGTGCGGGAGGTATCCTCGAAACAATACAAGCATCTAGTGGATATTGGACTGCTCGTGCGGTCGTTTTACGAATGTATGCTAGCAAGCTTGCTGTTCATGATTAGAAGCATTCACATGCATTGAGGATATCATCATTCTTGTCGTCCACTCCACTTCCACTAGATTGAGCCATCGCTTTACAGCAGACTTACCTTCACCTAGGCTTCGTGGGCTAAAGCTTGTCCTTCGCGACCGATAGCACTTCTCTCACCTCCCCTACCTTTACCCATCTACCCATTACTCTAGTACTCACCTACCTTCTAGTACTCACCTACCTTCTACTCATCCACCACCCCTCTGCCTACCATAACCTTCCTCATCTACACTCTCCATCCCACAAACCCAATGGCCACCCTATCAACAAGCCCCATCTCCCTCCTCCTGTCCTCATGGACCAAACCAAACGAGACTGTCGATGTCGAAATCTACGGTTTGCCGGAGATCACCAAATGGACGAAGGCCCAAGTCAAGACCCAATTCGCCTCCAAAGACCTCTCTCCAATGAGCTGTCCCCATCTTCCCGCCGTTCGTGTTCCAGAGGCTATAGTCGAAATCAACAATTCGCGTGACAATGCCCCGGCTATGCAGTACTACATGAGCAAGAACAGGTTCTGGCTCGCCCATCGTATGCTACTACAAGCGCAGTTCCAATCTGCGGTAAGGTTCACGACGGATGAGTGCTATTATTTGCTGGAGGAGGGGGAGGCGGTTGTGGAGGTTAACGGACGGCCGTTGACAGGGGCGGAGAAGGGGATGTTGGATGTTGATCCGGGAAAGGTGGATATGAGGTATGTTGTGACTGAGAGGAATGGTTGTGAGAGGTTTTACTGACTTTAGAAGTCAGCTGCAGCCGACGGAGATGAAGATGCATATCGGGGTCCCGATGAGGATTCCGCCGTATACGGTGCATTGCTTCAAGGTGAGGGCGGATTCGCTGGTTACGGCTGGGTGTATTGTGCCGAGGGGAAGGGAGGAGTTGGATGAGAAAAGCTGGTGAGAGACCTGGATGACGCTGTTGGATGGAGAAAATGACCTCGGGAATGAAGAGCTTGGACGAGAATAGTACATGGGCGAAATAGAAGGACGTGTCGAGTCAGGTTCCTGCGGTTGATGCATGAGGTGGATCCTGCGATGAGAATTCTATACTTTCAAGATCATCTTTGGTACCGTTACACGATCAAGATCTACATGTGCGTGCCAACCTTGGAGGACACCATGATGACACCCACCCAACAGTGAGAATAGTGGGTGGGTGCGTAAGCGCGTCGCGGCCTCGACCTTTGGCATGTGAGATAGGCAAGAGGTGGTTGCACCCTACTCATCACAAGATGGGACGAGCGCTCGGCAGATAGTTGTATCTCCCAATCTTGAAACTGATATCCTCGACTAGCGCCCGCCTTCCCGATCGAGACCCTGTCAGATGCAGCGCAGACGCAGCGCTGACGACAACTAGTCACATATGGTTCTGCCTTGTACGGATGGGTCCATGGCGAGGCTGATGTCTGGGTCGAAACTTGTCGCCATGCGCAAGTCTTCATGGTCGGGCCTGTTGGACGTGCAGATGCAATGCAGCATGCGCGACAGTCCTCCGTGAGTACTGGCCAATGAGGGGGATGATTAGTCGACTAGAAAGGCGCCATGTATAGTGTTGTTGCTGCCTTGACAAATGGGAGTTGAGCATGTAGAGCTGGCGAGAGCGCAGAAGAATCGCTTTTTCTCAGAAATATCAGGGCTATGATGGAGGGTTTACTTTTTACCCTTCGCCGGCCGCACATGGCGTTTATAGCGTCGCTGGATTCGACGGCTGGGTAGCAAACGGCCAGGGTGTTCGGCCGGCCGTCAGCTAAGCAGGGGAGGCGGAGGAATGCGTGCCCTCAGCCAATCACGTGGGCGTCTGTGTATCGATAGGCCTGTCCCGCGCGTACCCAGACTCCGGGGAAGTGTCTGAGGCAGCCGTGACTAAACCGCTGCGGGCGGCGTGCATGCGTGCTAAACAGTCACGGCCCAAAAGTATCCACGGCCTCTTTCCCCTCGTGTGCCCACCAGTTCTGTCGCGTCCGTCGCGTCCTCACAGCTGCGCCCTGCCCGTCTATAAAGACCCGTCGCTCCTCCCCTCGACGTCGCCTGGTTTTCGCAGTCTGCTCGCACAATCTTCGGTACGCCCTCGGCCCCACCAGAATTTCCCTTGGAAACGTGCTAACGGGATGAAAGCTTCAACAGGAACCGCGACATGTCTCTCTCCTAGACTATTCGCGTCCTATGCGGGATGCGCTGCCATCAACACCAATGGCGGGGTTCGGGGACCCAAATACCAATGTCACGCGACAAAGCCATCATGCGCCGTCGCAACCAACTCCCTCGAGACGATCGCTGCCAGACGGACCGTGCAACTATCGCGACGCGCATATAGGACAGTGTGGATGTGACCAGTTCTGGGACAAGCTCAGCGCCGAGCTGCACGATGAGAGCGCCGACCATCGGCCTAGCAGCGAGCGCTCCACGTGGTGTGTTTGCGGGCACCATGCCTGCTTCCATCTAAGGGCGTCGCGTGCGCCAGAGAGGCAGGCGCTGTCGATGAGTCTCCCGCTGCCATCACTCTATGCGACAGGTGAAGATCCGCGCCAATTGCTGCCAGGCGCGCAATGCGACACGAGTGCTGCGATGCGACAGCTGGGGGACAACCTTCTGTCTGAAGGGGGTCAAGCCATACACAATGCGCGCATACATCAGCAACCCAGTCCCAGCCAGCACCCTCAGCGGCAACCCTCTGAGACCAACTCGTTTGGTCGCTTGCTACAAAGTCAGGACACTCCATCACAAATCAGCACCAGCGGCCTTCCTGGACTTCCTTCCGTGTGCTTGCTATCTCATGAACGGCGCCCAGTAGCTAACAGCGAAGCTAGGTATGGCGTGAATCAGTCGCGCCAGACGGTGGCAGGTCTCGGTCTTTCTATGATGAATTTGGAGAGCATGGCTCAGCTTAACCGTCAACAGTCGCCTACATCCACTATACCCGATGACATCAACGTCGCCCACACCCCGCGAAAGCTACCCAACGAGCCCGTCATCTCCCCTGGCAGAGCGAACGTCACTAGCCCCTCGCGCGGCATCCTCGAACAGGTATTCGAGTTCAATCGCAACTTCCAGCCCGATGAGCCCGGCGATACCATACCCAACACCTACAACCCCGAGGAATACGTACAGAGCGCTACTGAGGTGGCTACCCCAAGCGTTGGGAACACTCCAGATCTGAGCGCTGCTGATCGGGCTGTACAGGACGGGAAGGACATGATCGACGCAATGAAGCGCATCACCTCGGAAATCCAACAGCAATCGACTAGCTCACCTGAGCGGCAGACATATGGCACGGTTCCCACCCAGCTCTTGCCCAAGAACGCTACTGCAGGACCACAGGAACAGCTGCAAACCCTCCTCCAATCGGCTCCCCCACAAGGTCTCCAGAAGCTTGTCTCCTACCTCGCACCTCTCCATAACTTGTTGAACTCGATACCCAATGTAGCCAAGACTATGCAAGAGCTTGGTAGCCGCCTAGACTTGCTGGAGAACGGATCTTTCAATTACGTTCAGCCGGAGGATCTTAACAATACCTTGGAGATGTACGAAGGTAGGCTCATTGACGTGGAGCATCGTATGGATGAGCATGAACGCATGCATGAAGCTATGGACGAGCAAAGTAGCACCAGCTCCTTTAGCCGAAGACGCATCGACAACGCCACCACGTCGTTTGGCTCCAATCACTCTGTTGATTCCACCACTTCCTCCGCCCTCATCCTCGCCGCCATGGATCGCAAAGATACCGAGATGGAGCTCGATAACATCAAAGAGAGATTGGACGTCCTGGAAGCTGCGGCGCCGCCCACATCCTTGCAACCTTGGGAAGTGGAAGTTGTCCTACTACCATGGGGCCCTGACTTGAAAGGCATATGGTTCTCACCTGACGAACCAATGCATGACATAGCGAAGACGACAACCCAGAACTCTGAAGAGTGGACCCAAGCTCATACCTTGAAGACTATAAAAAGCCTGCCATTCCTTGGGCGAGACTCAGATTCAAGCCCATTCCCTGGTGCTCGCAACTCGGTCAGAGGATCTATACCTAGCCAGGCCGATAACGGTTGGAGTAGCCAAGACATCAGTAACTGGGCCTCGGGATCTACCGATGACTGGCTATTTCCGAAAGCCTGTGGTAGCAACAATCTGGTCTACAAGCGACTCCAAAGCAGAGGTTTTGTCCGGGATGTCACGTTCAGGGGCTCCAGCGCCAAAGATATTCAGGAAGCCTTGTCACATGCATTCTCTGATGTCTTCGATTACCTGCAGTACGACGACAGCGACGAAAACCCTATGATCTCTGCCTACCCAGGTCTTCGAGCGCCCTACATACCGCTACGAAAGGTACTCAAGGAGTCGCGACTACGTTTTCTCACGCCCGCCGAGATGTCTAGCAGTGCGCTCTGGAATGCTCAGTTCCTTTCGGCCGGTGTCATGATGAGAGTCTCTGGTGGAAAGAAAAGGCTTTACGTGACGGTTCGCGAAGCCTACACACAACAGGTTGACCGTAACGAGTTCGTCGTGATGGAGCAGTCATGGCCAGAACTGCGACAGTTGCCTCGCTACCAGCCCGACCAGGACTCGCAGATGGAAGGCAATGACGAACAGTGTCAGGCGCATGTTCCGGAAGCAGATGCAAAAGAAGCATGTTGGCAGTTCGTTGAGACATACGATGCTCCGCCTGCTAGCGTGCATTCGTCTTTCGGAAGCAATCAGTCCGTTCAGCTGTCCATGCGCCCTGCTGGTCGAAATTGGCGACGGTCAATCACTCCCAACTCGATACTGAAGAACAAGCAACCCCAGCCCATCTCTCCACTAAGCGAGAACCATCCGCAACGTCCACTCTACTGTCGCAACCGTACGGTATCTGCTTCAGTCGTCGATACCGTTACACCTCGTCAATCAAAACGCCGCTTCAACCCCTCCATCGTTGAGCAATCCTCTGCCCCACAGCCAATTTCACGTGCGCCCAGCCTACCATCAGCGAGATTGAAGCGACGCCGCGTAACAAACTCGTCCTCCCCCCGACCTGAGGAAGCACATGTTGCCATATGGAACGCAACCCCCCGACAATCACGAGAGCCGCCGTCACCCTTCTACTCCTCACAACCCGCACTTCCGCGATCAAACTCAGACGTCATGAGCAGACCAAGCCAGCGGTCCGTCGCCATAGCTGGTAAATCAACGCCTTTCGCCTACGCAACACCGCACTCAGGACCCTTCCCTGCTGGCCCTGGTTTCAACGCTTACAACAATGGCGGCGACACGGAACCAGACGATGACAACGACGCGTACGATAACGACGACGGGGAGAAGAGTTGGCGTGGCGTCACCGATGACGATAACGACCACGACCACGATAGTAGCTCGAGCTCCGTCCTTGATGCCGAAACTGGTGCGCAAGCGGGCGCCAGCTTCTCAGGCGACGATAGTGGTTTTGGGAGTGATAACGGAGAGGATAGCGATGCGCCGTCGGAAGACGAGGGAGAAGTGTATGCGCAGCGTCAACATGGTGAAGAAGATGAAGATGAAGATGACGAGGATGTGTTTGACTCTTTGCTTAGTATCATCGAAGCTTAGATACGCGGGGCTGGTCTACGGATGATTTGGATACGGACGTAGCGCCTTATCAAGAGTATGGACATCTGGATATTCGCCATCCAGCTAGGAGCATTTGAAGAGAAGTACACACACACACACATCGGCATAGGCGTTCTAAGGCAGGGAAATCTTGTACTATATTGCTTCCATCGTACTTGCAGCGTTTTGTTCTCCTTTTCGGAACCTTATTCTTTCGGTTCCTGGCTAGCAGGGTGTGTCTTTGTATACTACTAAAATTGGTCGTTGGGGTATGGTTATACGGTTAGCATAGTGGTGGTGGTTGACACCTCTTCTCTCTACCCTTAAGGCGGTTGAGCTAGAAAATGAATAGTTTACATTTAGGCTTTGTGCATTGGGTCCTTGATGTGGGGACTTTTATTTCAATCCACCATTCGTAATGCAGAAGACATTACGTACACCTAGGGTCCCACATAGCCGAGGGTTGAAAAGCTCATTTCTCCATTCTTTATGAGAGACTGGAGTCTATGCCGAAGCAGAGTCCTCAACGGGGTAGTAGTAACGCAGTAATTTACACAGTAAGGGATATACCCAGCTCATGTGACGCGGCTCACTTCTCCATACGGTCCTGACTCAAACTCGATCGCAAAGACCAAATTTCGGGGGACAACGTTCCAGATAAAGATCTCACATCTCGCTCAGGATGTGCAATCTTATGCTTCACCAGCGGCAGACTTGATGGTGATTCCAAAGGCATCCTGTAAGACGGCAGTCTCATCGAAAACATCGAAGAGACCAATCCAAAGACCCGCGTTCTCCGTGACATCAAGGCGCAGTTTCCTCGCCATCTTGACGAGCTTGTCGCGAGGCGTGAGAGCGTCAGTCCACCCCATAATCTCTGGTACCAGGTAGATCTTCCTCAGTCTAGAAAACTGTCGAAGCGATCCTGGTGTAACGGCCTGATAGCACCAATCTTCCTGAACTAGGTATCCATCGCCAATAGAGATAGCGGGGATAGCACGGCGTTGATCGAAGGTGAGTTGCATGAGGAAGAGGTCGATGAATACAGGAGTGTCGAAGTGGAAGTAGTTGGTCTTGTACTGGAGGAGTGCTGTCTCTGTATAGATCTGACGACATACGTAGCCGACAGTAAAGATACGAGAAACGCTGGTGGAAGTTTTGCCTTCGAGAAAAGGGTCCCATGGGACACAGTCGTTGATGTAGTAATCACTGTGGTAGCTAATAGCATCCGGTTCTCTGGGGACTTGCGGCTGAACCGTGGTGGTGAGACAAAACTTAAGTCGGTTGTCGGAGTCGTCTTCAAATCGAGGGCAATACCAATCAGCTTCATCATCGCTTGGTTCGTGTAGAATTGGCCTCTTAGCGGTGATGATGTAGCCTCCCACGGCGTAAGCGAAGATCTTGTTACGGAGCTCGCCCGGAAGACGAAGAAGCGGAGATTGAGTCATATTGCGGGTGGTACTAAGCGTGTCAGTGATCAAGATATCTTTCAGTATGAGCCAGATCCCTTGACTCACATCTCTGATACCGCACCGGATACCCCAGAATTGATAGGTACCATCTTGCCGATATGGCTGCGCGTCGAAGGTCGCAGACGTAGTAGCGGTGTTTAGAATTGAGGAAACTAAGGCAGGAAGGGAGGCGCAAACAAACGCACGTGCAGACGCGTTTTTTGGCTAGCGTGGTGTCATGGCACTTTTTACCTGAAATCACATCTAGGCATGCTGGTAAGAGGTAGCCTGGAATCTCATCCTGCTATCAATACTTACGCAGTTGGTAGCCCGTACGTAGGGACTGTAGTAAGCTACAGAGCGGAAGCAGCCCCAAAGACCTGCTGCAGTCGTTCAATCTCTTCATAGTACCTAGTTACAGCATAGCTGTGACACAGGAGAACAAAGCTTCTTTTGCATCACTAGACGTTACTGCGGACGTGTTGCGCATCAATTATGGTGATACCACGGTGACGTCATGACATGTGAATGTGACAGCTGCATATGCTGGGCAACTTCTCAATTCCACGAGACGTCACTAATGGTAATAGAAACGCGTGTATATTAGAAAACACTGTTGTTACATCTGATTCCAAAGCAGACGTCTTTACTTCCCTACAGACCTACCTAGCATCATCCTTATTACATATTTCCGCTAGCCATCCAACATGCAGTCCGTTCTTCACAAAGTCATCGGCCCTAAAGAGGTGCACCCAGAAAATCTCGAAGGCCGCGTCGCAGTAGTCACTGGTGGTGCACTCGGAATCGGGTACGGCCAGCCTCTTCCTCCCTCCTCCAACCCTTCGCTAACACACTCAAAGATATGAAGTCAGCCGCGCACTCGCCCTCGCAGGCGTAAGAGTCATCATGGTGAACCGCAAAGAAGAGCAAGGCGCCGACGCCATCTCAAGCATAAAAAAAGAGAAGGCCGACGCGCAGGTCGAATGGAAACACTGTGACATGGGCAGCCTCAAGGAAGTCAAAGAGGTCTTTTCCGACCTACGCAACTCGCTCGACCGTCTCGATTTCCTCGTTCTTTCCGCAGGTATCAACACGAACTTTTACGGGGAAGACGCGGACGGTATCGATCGTCACTTCGGCGTGAACTTCCTGGGCCACTTTTACGTGTGCAATCAACTCTGGCCGGTCCTTCGCAAGACGGGCAAGATGGGCACGAAGCCTGCGCCTAGGGTTGTCTTTGAGTCGAGTGAGATGCATCGTACTGCACCGTCGGACGTGCACTTCGCGAGCATGGACGAGATCAATGACAGCTCTATGGATCCCACGCGGTTGTATGGGCGCACCAAATTGGCCATGATCCTGTTTGCGAAATTCGGTCTGCGTGATCGCGTCATCAAACCTAATGGCGATAATGTATACGCTCTCTCCGTACACCCAGGCGCTGTCAACACAGCTATGCAGCAGCAGTGGAAAGACGCATATCCTGGTATTACCGGCAAGTTGTTGTCGAATGCTATGCTCTTCGCTGGACGAGATGTGGAGCAGGGGTCGTACAGTGCGCTTTGGTGTTGCACGGCGGATGAGATCGAAGAGAAGGATATGAATGGGTTCTACTTCAACGACCCGGTAAGTCGTCTTTGGCTCTTGGTGAACATTCTACGTCGGACTTCGTGACTAATACGTGGTGCAGGGCCAACCAGGCAAAGAGACATCTCAAGCCAGCGATGAGAACCTTGGTGCTGCGCTCTGGGATCTGAGCGAGCGCATCATCAAAGACAAAATTGGCCAAGACGCACTGGTAGACTGGAGTGCGAAGGAGTAAGATCGTGCTCAGATACAATGTGGGCAGCTTCAATTACGTCTAATCTCGTGCGTAATGTGTAAAAGATTATCATTATGAGCGTGTAGAAAATATATCCTATAAAAGCTTACAACATCCAGAGAATGGTATATGGTATGACAACAATAACTCCACCATCCTAAGAAACATAAGGCCAAATCCCGCGTTGAGGATTCATGACCCGCTGCGACCTTCCAACTTCCCGTGAAGACATAAACTGACGTAGACCGTGACAAGATGGAGAATCCCTAACCGCGTCATCATCGAGCAGCTCTGGATGCTCGTCGACGACCATGAACACCGCCTCCCGCAGATCCGTCGCATGCTCAGGAAGGTCTTCGTAAACCCACAAGATGGCGTCAATCGTCTCGGGATTGGGATGGTAGTATTCCGCTGCTTCCTGGAACCTCTTTGTACATAGCGCCTGTAGGTCGGGTACTAGGTACTTGTCTGCAACTTCCCAGAGTTGGAGGTGTAGCAACATGTGGCGGGGTGTTGGAGTATGGTAGAGCGCTCGGCCTGAGCCCTTTGGCATATCTTGGAGTATCCGCTGTCGTTTTTGCACGATCTGATCAGGTTGTACGTTTTGTGATGTTTGAAGTTTCCGCTTCTTCGAGCTGGTTGAAGACATAGCGCCGACTGCTGGTGATGTTTCTCCGTGGGGCATCCTCGAACTGTCATCAACACTGTGTGGGTGGTGCTGATCGGAACCTTTGCAACTAGCGTACGGGCTGCTGCGATAACTTCTGATCCATGTCAGATCCTTTGTGCGCGCATCGATCTTCCAGGAAGTGGCGTCGTAGTCGCCTTCATGAAGAAACTCGATCATGAGACTGACCATGGCAGGTTCATCGTCATGAAGTGTTATGGTGCCTTCGGAAGCCTCCTTCCCAAATTGTGTTGCGCGTCCAAAGTATTCAGAGTAGGGAGTAATGACGTCTAGATCGACAGTATAGCTATCAGGCCCGCAGGCTATAGTGAAGTTGGAGTTCATGACTCTGGAGTGTAGTCGTCTCGTGTAGAGGTTGAGGTGTGGGTAGGTGTGAATGGGCGAAGGTGGATTGGTAGTGATTGTCGGCAAAGTGGATAGACTCAGTTCTTGCTAGAGTGTTCACGTGCGTGAACAAGCGATGATAGACAAAAAGAGTATTCACTCTGTCGCTGACCACGTGAGCCATGTGCCTTAGGATTTGACATGAACTTACGATGTGGCCACTTGGGATGAGAGAGGCCGCACATCGTGAGATCGAGTTTGCGATGCGGCACTGAGCCAAAGACCTGGGCTACCTTCTAGGTTTTGCAGTTTCTGAGCGCCAACCCCGTGCAAAACGTCGTCCTGCTACCCTCAAGTGACAAGAGGCGTGATTCTTGCATAGATCATGAGGTATGGACGTTGGCGGAAAAGAGACGTGTCCGGCCACGAATCTTTGCAAGAAGTCGAGCAACCAATGAAGTCGTGTAGACTGGATGTATGCTCGCTGGCTAGAGAAAGAGTGCTTGGGAGCAATCACTTGGTCTTGTAATCTTTGCGTGTACCTCGACCTGATTGGAAGAGATGACTCTAACGCAGGACCTAGGTTTCAGCACCCAAGACCGAGAATCCCGGAAGGGCGAGATTGTATTGACCAGCATAGCGGGCGTACGGCATGCTCCGTGCAGAGAGCCTTAATACGCAGTGAGGATGACCTGACAAGGCCGCAGCTGTAGTGTTCCGTGGCAGGTGGCACGGCCCGATCGGCTAGTAACGCGAGCATGTCCGAGAACGAGAAGATGTTCCGAAGGCACGGCGCAGCGGGGGCGCAGGGTCGTAAATGCTGTGTAAGACCGTCCGGTGGTAGGCTAGTGACCGGTGAGCAACCCCACCTCCGCTCCATGCAGTAGGCTACAGTCTGCAGCCCTGTAGTGTTCGACACTAGGGCTGCAGCTTCGCCACACAGTTGCCACCGTCAGATTGGGGTCCGGATGACAATCCCGCGAGACGAATGGCTCAGTTTGAGCGTATTCTTCCAAGCCTCCAGCTAGATTTCCGGGCCTTCTCCGTCGTTGGACTTTGCTGCCGCGCCTTTCTGAGCGCAATGACAGCCTTTTTGTGTTCCAACTGATTCTTGTTCCGTTTCAGTATTGCTGACTCGTCGGCGCCCATGTCCAATATGAGCGTGATGAAGTCTACTTGATTGTGTGCGACGGCATGATCTAGCACGGAGGCAGGTTCGGTGTCTTTGGCGTTGATATCGGCGCCGAATACGAGGAGAATGCGAGCTAGATTGACATAGCCACGCTGCGCTGCGAGGTGAAGGGGAGCGCGTTGATGGTCCCCCAGAATGTTTACGAGAGTGGCAGGCTCTGGGTGCTGTTCCAACATCGAATGAATTTCTGCAACGAGGGTGGGGTCGTCCTTGCACTGCACCACTCTGCGGTGGAAAACTTTCCAGTCTTCCTCTGGCTTTGAGATGCCGAATATTTGTTTAGAGATAATACTTTCGTCGTCGTCGGATTGTGTAAGAAGAGCGCTCGAAGAGGACGAGGAGACGGAGAAACGCGGTGGTGATGTCGGATTGGACGCTCTGCGGAGGTGTACTGGATCTGAGATAGTGTCCGTATTTGAGAACCACCGATCAAGCGAGACGAGGTCATCTTGAGCTGGCCGATTCTCTTTGCTGTCATACGCTATGGGTTGCTGTCTGAGCGTCAGCACCATCTCTTCTGCTATACATTCCACGTATACTTACTGGTATTGAGCTCTCGGAAACGCGACGAATATACGAACTGACTTCACTAGCATCGCGTTAGAAATATATAAGTCTGAGGAAGAACAGTACGAACAGATATGAGCAGGCTCCGGTGACAAGGACAATATCTCCGAGGTATCGTCGAATGTCATCTACCGCGAATTCGATATCCTTGGCTACTGCGTCCATTCTTCGTTTCACAGAGGCCTTGTCGAGAAAGGTCTCCGCACTTTTGCTTTGAAGTCCCAAATCCGCTATCTTGCGTTTGATCTCTCTGAGACGATCGCGACATAGCGCGATCTTCTCACGCACCAAGATTGACGGCTCGCTATTGCCATCGGGCTCAGCTTGATGGTACTTCGAGTTGAGTAGGCGTACAACTCCATGCAACTCTGTGATTCTTTCGAGGAGTCGGTCGACCAAGTCGTCGATTTCCCGCACCGCTTCGATATAATTCTTGCATGCTCGAACGAGGGCTAGCCCAACCGTTGCGATGGTAATTATGCTGGAGACCGGCTCGGCCATGGTTACTTGGGTGCCGTGTGTGGTGGCCAGGCCCGCTTTAAAGTGGATCGTTGAAGGAAGTCTGGAACCAGGTTGTGGTGTTACACAAGGATATCGTCTAATAAGTGCAGGCGAAAGCGCAACGATCGTTACGGATGCGGCATCGAAATCATTTGAAGAAGGCCTCTTGCCAGGCGGCTCAAAGATCAAGAAGGGGCTTAGCAGAACGCGTGCAGCCTGTTCATGACCAAGAATGAGGACGGGTAATGTGGGAGGCACACGTGTGAAGTGAGTTGACGTAAGTGTCAAGTATAAACAGTCAAATGCTCCATGCAAGGGTTGGCATTCGTCCGATGCGTCAACGGGCTGGGGCAACTCCACACGTACCTGGGGAAAGCGGCTGGCGGGGAAAGCTCGACGGCCGCACTATTACAGATCAAGTAGGCAGCCGCTTATGTGCCGTCCCTTTCTCACCACATATCGACTAGCCGAGCGGGCTGCGGGGACAGCTCATACGCCAAGGAACTCGTCATTCGGAAGTTCATTCCGAATGCCTGCGATTTCACGTAAACTGGTTCATCGTCTCGAACGGGGTCTCGAAAGGCAGAACAGACGTCCCCGCGATGGCGCGTCCTAGTTAGGCGATTTCAAAGCATCCTGCTCGGCAGAGGGCTGAGGAGAGAACTCAGTGTCACCAATAAAACCAAGGTTGCAAGGTGATGCAAGGGCTGACCCTAATGCCAATTGCGGCTTGGTGGCGTCTGAAGGCACTTATTGATGTATGCGTTCATTGGCCGAAGTCTCCCAAGACCCATGTCGCCTGAAAAAGGGCAGCGAGGCATGCAAAAAGCAATGGCAAGGCAACCAATCCACTGACTAGAGGGCGATCATCAGAACGTAGACTTGTTGCTCAGCCACCCGTCTAGCAGTATCTGTAGGTAATATGGCGGTGGAGGACCCCGACAAGACATGCCGTATGCACGATCAGGCTCGCCCTTGGGAAGACCTGTCAGCCTTATAGGACTCAGCCCGATGCGGCAGGCAAACATATATTGTGATGCTGGGGCGCGTTGTCGCACATTGATTACGGCCCCTAAGCGGCATACTCTTGCTGAAAGCGCTGGCCACTATGACTGAACCCCTTCAGCAAGCAACAGCTTTTGGAGGCACAGTAGGGAACCAAGCCCTTGCGACGAATCAACAGCGCTCAACAGGCGCAAGACAAAAGTATGCGCATGAGTCAATGTTAACAGAATGTAACTGACTTGGCATAGTATAGATAATCCGTTTCTGACGTTCGATGACACGATTCCCGACCTCAAGACTCAACGTACTGAGCTAGAAGAGTATGTTTGGGAATTTGCTTCATTAGCCGGTCTCAAAGACCGCTATGAATTGCTTCGATTTGGTGCTCGTCTCGCTCGAGACAAGTATGAGGCTATAAGAAAATACGCGGATGAGCTCACAGATTCGGAAAAGGAGTTGTTGGAGAAGGAGAAGGATGAGAGTACAGGCTTTTGGAAGCAGTCCAAATTTCTCCGCGCGACAATCATGACCGCAAGTCTTGCGGGTATGATTCAGGGATGGACGCAAAGCGCCAACAATGGTACTGCTCATGGTATGCCAGACGAGTTTGGCCTCTGCTATCGTAGGGGCGAGGGGTGTCCTTCAGCCGATCTTTGGACGTTTGGAATGCTGAACGCCATTCCGCTGCTTTCCGCAGGCCTCTTCGGTACCCTCCTTGCAGATCCGCTACAGGAGAACTTCTTAGGGAGGCGAGGTAGTGTGATGCTGTCTTGTGGCATCACGATAGCCTCGACAATCGGTGCATCACTTACGCACAACGTAGGCTCACTCGCAGCTTGCCGAGCTATCAACGGAATAGCTCTGGGTGCAAAAGCGTCGATAGGTCAGTGGAAGCTCTCGCTCATGCTTGTTTCGATGAATTTAACACCTTGTAGTTCCGATATATGCAGCTGAGATATCACCGGAGCACATACGTGGCGCTGTTCTGGCGAATTGGCAGCTTGCTGATGCAGCCGGTACGTCCTCTCCTCTTGATACAGTGCAATCGCTGATCCGCTAGGCATCTTTCTCGGGTTTCTAGCAAACTTGCTGGTCGTTGTTTATGTGGAGAGAGCAGAGTCTGCATGGCGCATTCTTACGAACACTGTGCTCATCCCCACGGTGCCATTGCTGGTAATGATATACTTAATGCCGGAATCGCCTCGATATTTGATGAAGCATGGAAAATACCCCAAAGCACTCGAAGCCTTCGAACAGGTCCAGACCACGCGGTTACTAGCAAGTCGGGATTTCATGTATGCGCATGCTCAGCTGGATTTCGAAAGTCGACTATTGAAAGGAGAGACGAACGAGCTTGGCACCCTGGCCGATCGCGTAGATGTCAGCTTGCCGAGCTTTTCTGGAGAGCCATCTTCGCCATCGCCAAATCGCGCACAACTAGAAAGGGCTGCTGAACACGAAGCCGGATCGCCAAGTCGATTCGCCCTAGCTCCCAATGTCGAGGGAACGAAGTTAGGGGCAACAGCGGTCCGGAACGATAGCCAGCACCAAGTCAGGCCGCAGCCCGAGCAAAACGAAAACAGTAACATTGAGCTCGCGACATTGAACAGGAGGTGGAGTGACATATCCAGCCTAAATTTCGAGGTTGGGGTCAGACGAATGAAGAAGAACAATCCGTACTCGTACAACATCGGTGTCAACGGCTACTACAAGCGTCTGAGGGAGTTATGGTCCAACAAGCGGTGTCGACGAGCATTGCTGTGCGCTTCCGTGTCCATGATCACCCAGACCCTGACAGGCGTCAATACGATCGCCTTCTTAGGCACGATAGTGTGGCCCAACTCCGGAACAAACAGTGATCGTACATCCGCGATAATAGGCCTGGCCTTTGGAGCAGCGAATTACATGTTCGGGCTGCCTGCTTATTGGTCTTCGGATCGATTGGGACGTTCCGTCATGCTTTTGCTCGGCCTGCCAAACATGGCATGGTCAATCCTAGTCTTTGCCTTCCTCTTCAAGATCACCGACACGTCCGTCCAGATACCATTGGTCAGCATCTTCGCGGTCATCTTCGTTGCCTTCTATGCCCCGACAGCCGGTACGTCTCCATTCTCGATCGCAGCAGAGGTCTTTCCTCTCGTGTCGAGGGAGGCTGGCATGGCTGTTTCCGTCGCGGTCAACCTTCTGGGTGCTGGCATATTGGTACTAGTCTTCCCATTCCTGCAGGACAGCATTCGGCCGACAGCTGCATTCTCTATCTTCGCAGGCTTGAATATGGTGGCGTTTGTGCTGGTGTATTTGTTCGTTCCGGAGACGAGAATGCGGACCCTGGAAGAGCTGCAGTATACGTTCGATTTACCAACGGGATGGCATGTCGCGTATCGTGTGGGGTACATACGACAGCATGTCTGGGCGAATTGGTGGAAGTACTTGACTCGCAAGGAGGTTCAGCCGCCGGTTCCGTTCTACGAATGGGCGCGAGTGACGTACAGAGAGATGGAAGGTGCCAGCTGAGTTGTGGACATCCTCAGTGGAGGCGGACCGCTGAGACGGAGGTTTGAGCGCGACTGGACGCGATCCCCTTCCGCCAAGCAAATGACGTATCAAGGCTAGCGCGGAAGACCCCGACCACAAAGTGCACGCCTGCGCCTGAGTATTGAGGAAGGAAGATACGTGTAACTAAACACCGTCGTCTATCACAACAGCATTCTGCAATGATTTAGGCTTCGAAATATTTCATGTGTGTTGGTTGACCTTTTTGGCTCACATGTCTGTTGAAACTGGGAGCTTCCATCACCTCATGACGATGAAGCTGCGCTGAGCATCATAGACGAGCGTTTGTCGGGTTTTCTCTCATTAATTGCCAAGATCCTTTGCGCCTTCACCCTGAGTGACAAGGTTCTCAGCTAGCGCCTTTACGAAATAAAGGCGGCGCACGCAATAAGATCTATCCTCTACCTTCACATCTCACGACTACCTAGGTAATAACAGCCTTGCGGTAGAGCACCGCCTGAAGCGATCAAGATGACGGCTCCATTAGAGGAAATGTAGGTCAAAACACTAAGATGCTGTACTCTACTAACAAAACAAAGAACCTTGCGCAATCAGATCGAGTCGCCTCTACTCCGATTGCCAGGCGAGCTGCGCAATCGTATCTGCGAGTTAGCTGTGGGCGGAAACATCATCGTCGTACGAAGCTGCTACAAGCGACCGGGAAAAATCTCGGTCCATCTCACCTCCGCTGATACTCCTGGACCGGTTACATCTGTTTCGGGCATCTTTACCATGGGTCTCGCATGCCGTCAGCTACACCAAGAAATAGCTCTCACCCAGTACACAAAGAATATCTTCCATTTCGATGGCGTGCAAGCATTTCGAACTTTCGTGGAAGGTCTCACTACTGCACAGCGAGCGCTGCTCACGTCTGTATCTATCAACGTCGAGGATTACTTGGGGCCAAAGTTGTACTGGGATTTGTTTACAAATGTGTGGAAGGGCCATGAGGGCACCAAAATATTCCTGCCCGAGCTAGAGCGTGTCTACATCAATGCACCTGACCGACAACTCTCCCTTCTGGTGCATGTGGAGGTTGTCCTTCACATTCTTTGGGAAAAGCTGAAAATCGGCACAGAACGCAAGGAAGGCATCTCGCTCATGGCCTTTGATGTGTTTCGAGGAATGGAGAACCGAGATCAAGCAAAGACGATCAAACTGAGTTGGGGCGGTGAGGCGTTCGTCTGATTGGTGTTTCTCTTCTGGCCCGACACGGCGAGACCCAGTCGCTGCAGATAGGGTAGGCATTACAGATGGTCATCGGTTCTTCTCCTACATATGGAGTGCCCTTGAGATAGCCAGGCTGACAATGGGATAACTCATGATTCGATCATGAAAGCCATGCTTAACAATTTGTTCTCTGATGACTCCACGCTTCCCTTTCCATTCCACTTCCCAACCACCGGCACCTAGAGGCGTCCTCTCTTTCGACTTGACCTTCTCTAGTTCTTCGAAGGTAATGGGTGGGGCTGAAACAAACGTTGCCTTAACAGCGTGCCAGAAGAGGACATCGGAATGACTCCATGGGATATCGTAGTCATCTTCGGCGTGTATTAACGTGATGTCATAATTTCGCTGCTTGCCGTTGACTTTGATACTGTCCAGTCGGTGAATAAGTGCTGCAAGTTTCTCCTTGGATGGAAATTTGGTGATTATGAATCGGTTCAGCAGGTTCATAAGCGGTGGAAATACCGCAAGAGGGGATAGCAGCGGAAGGGTGCGAGCAACTTTGTACGTCCTGGTAAGCGACTCCACATCAGCGAATGGTGCGACCAAGACGACTCCTGCCAGAACGATAGGGGTAGGCTCTGAGGCCAAGTGGTGAGTGAGCGACAAAGCTACGGCAGTACCCATAGATTGGGCAAAGATCACAATCCTTTCTGTTGGTATACCCGCAGTATCCGTTACGAACTTGAGCAAAGTAAGCGCATCTGTAAGAAGACCCGATTCCGAAGGCCACCCAGTACTGGCACCGAAACCACGATAGTCGATAACCAGGACATGTACGTTGGTCGATGTCGCGCTCATCGCCCTGTAACTTTGTGGCCGCCATCCAGATCCCAGTGTGCCTGCCGCACCATGCAGATATATAACTACTTGCGCAGTAGGGTCTTTCAGTAAACGGAAGGAGATCCGGTCTTCGACATTCGCGCAGAGTCCGACTGGCTCCTCACGGAGTTGGGTTTGATGTTGGCGGTATGTCTCCAGTGGCAGAACGTGCCAGGCATGTAGAGTCTCACCATCTGGCGTCTTGAGATTGAAGGGTGTGACTTGGTTGCGCAGAAAGCCCCATTGCTCGGGTACGTTGATATCCTGATTCCAGGTTCGAGTTACTCGGTGCAGGAAGATGACGTGATCCTGTAGAGTCGGGATCGTGAGTAGCAAGACGAAGCCGAGATAGAACCCGATGAGACCAATGAAAATTGAGAGAAGAAGCGTAAGCATGCTGGTGGCTATATACCTGGTCTATCTTGAGCTTGAATAGTCCAGTCGCGGCCAGGACGATTTGAGATTTGCAGTAGCGCTAACCGATGTGGGGTAAGTGGAGCATGATGACTGGAAGAACGCCACATGTTCGGACGTGTGCAGTTCTTCATGTGATATACACTTCTCGAATGCTAGAAACTTCGCAATATTGGTGTTGAGAACGCGTTGCAATTACGCGAAATTGTCGTGATTTTGCGGAATGACCAATTGGGCCTAGCTCAGGGTCATTGCATGTGCCGAGGTTTAGGCCAAGCACAAACCTCGCCAACGCGTCAACTCTGCGCCACCTCCTCTATCGCGCTCAAAGCAAGGTGACTCCAGAAGCCCTATACTATGCTATGGGTGTGACCGCTTTCTGATACCTGCCATGCGGTCTACCCCATGCCAAGACTGATAACAGATCAGCGGCAAGTGAGAGCGAAGTCTCACGAACGCGCTGCGTCATCTACCGCGAATGGCTGGTTTGGCAGTATCACTTTAGACATCGCTAACGATCTCGCAGTTCCGGCGCGTAATCCCATCCAAGCACAATCGTCTACGATATCTGTTTGACTCTAGACTCGGTCCACGCAATGCTAGCACATCCAATCATACCGCACACAGCATGTAGGCTGACTTCCAGGAAGAGGAAGGCACCACTAATGGCGACTCTGGCGACTGGACCGATCCCGAAACCGGTAACAGCGTAGAAGATGATGACAGAACATGCGAAAATGATTCCTAATTCGTCATGGGCCCTAGTAATACGGTGAATCAGGAAGTTCCACATCAGAAGAGAATGCATCGGTGCTTATACAGTACGCACGGTCGCAGCACGCATGTATCAAGCTTTTACGGGAACCGATATATGTCCCTTACCGACGAGGATATTATGCGCATGCTCAACCCGAGAGCGTGGAACGTCATTTAATATGACCTTCCTACTTTGCTGCTCTTCATCTTGCAGTGTACGAATATCCTCACTATTCACTACTCCTTACGCAGCTGGATCGGCCCTCAAACTGATTGAGTATATCCAATATGAATGATTTGCGAGGGAACATGTGTGAGCAGCCACATGATCGGTGACCGTATTCCAAAAAAAGATTAGGCTGATGGTTGCTGACCACACCTGAGGAAGTGGCTTTACTATGTCGCTTCGAGTGTATATATGGACATTTGCATCGGCCAGCGATGGAAGGTGCGAATTCCAACCCCAAGTTCGAGATACAGCCACAGTCGACATGGGCAACTCTGCACCGAACATGCAGCTGCCAGACGCAGCTACCATCCTCCAGTCCGTTAACGCTACGATAGATCATACAGCCTATTCGTTCCCTACTTCTGGATATCAAGTCTTCCTGTCTGTACTTCGCACCCTCCTCATACTTCTGTTTCTCTTTGTTACATACCATTGCTTTCACTACTTCACATGCGAACTTCCGCCGTTTGGCTCGGGTCTCAAAGCTCTCCCGGGTCCGCGCTCAACACTTCCTTACTTAGGTCGCGTTCACGATGTCGACCGCATGCAGGCTTGGACCTCAATGCACAAGTTCAGCAAGCAGTATGGCGGGCTGTTCGCATGTACACTTGGGGGCGAAACGCACATCTGGGTCGCAAGAGAAGATGTTGCGCAAGACTTAATGGTTAAGAATGCTGAGCTGAGTTCGGCGAGGGCAGATATTGGGTCTTTCCCAGGGGTGACACAGGACTTTTTGTACTTGCCTCTGCTCGGGTACACAGGTATGTCTGCCAATACCAAGACTCTGATATGAGCTTGTCACTGACCTCCGACTTAAAGATCACTTCCACCGTCAAAAAAGATTCGCAAACGCAGTGATGACCCGCGCAGCTAAGAACCAATACTACGGCCACATCCAGCTTGAGATGAAGCGCTTCATGCACGAGCTCTCCCAAAAGCCAGAAGACTTCTTCACTCTCACACATCTCTTCTGCGCTAGAATCAGCTCTCGCCTCGCGTATGGCACCGCTGATCGTTCAATAGAGCACATGACCAACGCCGGCGCCTTCATCTCTCAACTTGGCCCTTCTGGACCCATACCTAATCTCATGCCGTTCCTAAGATATTTCCCTGAGTGGATGGTGCCGGGTCAGCGTGGAGTGCGAGAACGCCGAGAAAAGGAAGCAGTGCTGTGGAAGGACACATTCGATCTGGCAAAAGCATCCAAAGACAATACAATTTACACGACCGCAAGCTTGGCTACCAAAGCTATTGGCTCCGATACCGACCTTCTTTTCGCTGATGAGGAAGAGGCCATAGCTGCAGTTGGCATGCTCTGCACTGTCGCGATCTATACTATTGGCGGACCGGCGACGCTGTTCGTCATGGCTATGATTCTGCATCCGGAATGGCAGGAGAAAGTACGCCAGCAGATCGATGAGGTAGTTGGGAAAGATGAGATGGTGGACTTGAAGCACAGTTCCCAATTACCGATCTTGAGGGCAGCTATCAAGGAATGTGTGAGATGGAAGAGTACTGTTCCACTCGGTAAGTTCCTGCTTCCCTCTGTATCCTAAATTTCGATCTGTTCCAAAATTCATACAGCATAAAGCTAACCAGTCATCAGGCGTTCCTCGTCTACTCTCGAAGAATTACACCCACTCCGGCTACCACTTTCCCCGAGGCGCCGTCGTTCACGTACTCGACATTGCCATGTCTCAAAACCCCACCACCTACTCCTCTTCTCCTCCCTCCATCTACGACCCCTCCCGCTGGCTCGACCCCTCGTCTCCCAATTTTAGGTCTCCACTTACCGAACATCCACGCTTGAAAGGCCATCATAACTTTGGGAGGGGCAAGAGAGTGTGTCCCGGCCAAGATCTTGCGGAGGCGGAGCTGTTGGTCTTTTGTGGAAACTTGGTCAAGAACTTTGAACTTGGGAAGAAGGACGGAGTAGAGATTGGGCCGGACCAATGGACACCGCATGTCATCGGGGGACCGTTGCCGTTTCCCTGTGAGATCAAGGCGAGAAATGGTGAGAGGGCAGGAGTGGTTGATAAGTGGTGGGAAGATGTTAAAGGGCAGATGGAGGGGTAAAGAGGTTCTCGGTGTTGGAAGCGAATACGCGTGTTGTTCTTTCGACATACCATACAATCTTACCATTCCCCATAATTCAACCAGTGACAATGCCCCACGTCAACCAAGTGTCGATCGTCTTCTTTCTCTCTAGCAGCCTCTCTTCTTCGCTCTCATGATCGCATGCTGCAACTCCTCTCCTCTCCTTTGATTCTGCTGTCTCCCTTAGTAGGGTGCTGCCACCATCGCTCGCAAGCTCATATGAACGAAACTCCGCGTTCGACCATCCGGTGGCTAGTCATAGATGATCAGCAATGGTCAAACAATGTAACGATCAAGAGACTGCAAACCTTGTGCGCTCAACGAGCCCTTCCAGTCATCGGTCAGGAAGTGTAGGAAGCAGCCATGCGAGACCACAACAATATTGTTCTCCGGTCTGTCTCGAAGCCATTGCCGAGCGCTTTCGGCTCTAGCGAGAAGTGAGGCACTCGTGAGCGATGAGTCAGTCTGCCATACTTGGTAAGCCTACCCTGTAATGATACTTTTTGGAATGCTGGATCAAGATTTGATGGTCCATCTGCCTACTTTCACTTGCCAGCCCTCTTCTACGAGGCCGAGGTCCGCTACGGTGTTCTCAAACTCTTCCTGAAGAACTTCGACATCGCTGCCGGTGTCGCATGGCAAGTTGCTTGCTTCTTGCAACGAGGGTAAGGCGAGGACCTGGACGCCCCGGGTCACTTCTGGCTCGAATCCTAATAACGCGGTGTGAATTGTTCGTCGTAGGGGTGAAGCGACCACGAGCTCAACTTCGGCATGGTACGGAAACGTTGCTGCGATTTCGTGGCATTGGTGCTCGCCATACTGTGTGAGCGATGGATCTGGAACGTTGTGGTTGCTGTAAGACAGATTGTGCACACCTTGCGCGTGCCTGACACAATGGATAATACGCGCCACTATGCGCAGGACAGTCGAATTAGTTATTGCGCAACGTTGTTTCAACGGCGCGCACTCACTCGCACACCAAAACCGCGTGGTAGCAGAGTTAATGCGACGAGGGCTGAGCGAGAGATGGTGCGCAGCTGCCTGATCGGTGGGCGAGTGTGCAGCGGGGCTGTGCTGTCCCCCAATATGATTTCAGCCGCACCGCGTTCCTACCTGAGTACTTTCCTTCATCTCAGTCTCGCCCAAACAAACTACCTTCGATTTTTGGTGCGAAGGAATATCGAAATGGAGGTTTGTAAGCCGCCTGCCAAACGTCGCAAAATCACACCAAACACAGGTCACAGGCCAGTAACCAGAGCCAGCCTGGCGCGTACTCAGCAAGACGACTCCACACTACCCGCCTACACCTATCGATCTCTCAAGGAGGAAGATGAGATACGCATTCTCAAAGTCGAGAAGATAGGACCAAACGAGTGGCAGTACGACATCGAACATATAACATTGACCGATGCACCACCCTTTGAAACCGTCTCGTATGTATGGGGACCGGATACGCGGCGCAACATACTACGTCTGCGAGATGATCGGAAGATATGCATCAACGACAATCTTGCCAAAGCCCTTCCTTATCTCTCGGCGGAATGCAAGACTGGATATCTGTGGATCGACCAAATCAACATCAATCAGTCTAGCACGCAGGAGCGCAATCATCAAGTCAAGATGATGGGTGATATCTACAAGAAGGGTGAAAGAGTCATAGCTTGGCTGGGCATGGGAGCAAGACCTAGCAAACGACTTTCCGCTCTCATCACGGTAGCAAGCTACTCACTCGAACTTCGAGAGAGTATAGTTCTCACAAAAGGAAAGATCATGGATCAACTTCTTCAATGTTCTCCGCAGGACTTCGCCGCGATTTTAAACCTTCTCGAAAGTGCTTGGTTCTCCCGTGCATGGGTCTTTCAGGAGATTGTACTCTCAAAGCACGCGACTTTCCTTTTTGGAGGGCTTGCCATACCTTTCTTGGCCCTTGTGTGGTTATCGAAAGCGCCTTTTGTTCCAAAAACACCTGATGTTGCACCATTGCCTCGTACAATATCGTCCAAGCTGGCTCAGAGCTCGTCGCAAAACACATCATATCACGACTTCGTCTCCAGGCCTGGATCTCGCACTCTCTCTATAATGCATCGCAGCTGGCACAACATTTCTCATACTCGCGACGAAGATGACTTGCCTTTTGTATGGACACTCTCAAAGTTATCCCCGATGTTGCAAACCACCGACCCCAGGGACTCCGTATATGCATTTTTAGGTTTACAAAAGATCAACGACGATGCTGCACCTATCGAGACAGATTACAATTCTACCTACGAAGAGACCCTCATTAATACTGCGAAATCTATTATACGGTCGACGCGGTCTCTGAATCTGCTATCATATTGTGGGCGGGAGAGAAACGGCCAACTGTTATCCAGGAATCTGCCGTCTTGGGTACCAGAATGGCGAGCCTCGGTCTCAACACCACTTCTCGCACTCAGTTTTGCCGGATCTTTTCTTTCTAGTCAAGATCATCACATCTGGGCTCATTCCCAAGATCAATCCGAACTACGTGTGCGGGGCGTGCGTTTCGACACGATAGATAGATGCTTCGCACCTGAATTCCGGTTTCGGTCCGCTAGCTGGCATGATGAGAACCTCAAGGACTATCTATCACTCAACCAACGACTAGAGTCTATAAAAGAAAATACAGCTTGTTCTCGTGAGCGCCTTCTTAGCGTTCTCCTCACGCGAAGCTACCGACCTGATGTCGAGTACAAGCACCACCACGGCCTTTCTGGGAGCACGGAGGACCTTTTGGATGCATACGACGAATATGTGGAAAATCTTGGAAAATCTTTGGTCGTGGAAAATATCCAACATCTGCACGCGTTACGCTTTCAAACGTACCTTATCAATACCAGACAGCTCTTCTTAACAGAAGGCGGGCATCTAGGCCATGTCAACCAGCCATCTAAAGGCGACATCATCTGTACCCTAGAGGGATGCTCGCATATGGTAACATTGCGACCCTGTGGAAATCATCGTTTTACTGTTGTGGGAATTAGTTCCGTAGAGAAAGAGTTATGGGACATCAATCGACTTAATCTTCCCTATTGCGATCGTCAGAATTCGACTTGGGTAAAACACGAAGGCGAAGAGTTCATATTGATATGAAGTCGCGTCAGGAGGTCAACCACTGGTCATACTAACGGATTTTGTACCTAGTCATACTACTGGACAATCACATTGGACTTCGTTCGACATGTGGACTTATTATGTACATGTACAGTCAAGATGATATTCGTTCTTTGTACGAGCGAACAGCCATAATTGAGCAAAGTGTATCAAAATAGTAAAGCCATTACATTAATCTCTTCTCGTCAAGTTCGTAAAGTCTATCATATCCGTCTCACCAATCATACATAATGAACTTCTAGTAGTAAGTGTAAACAGGCGAGGCGGGAAGAGTGCCAAAGTCACCGGAGCCGAAGGGGCTGCTGGGCGAAACCTTTCCGCCATTGACATCAGAAACGCCGAACCAAGCAAGCTCACTGCACTTGCTGACAGTGATAACAGCGAATGCGGGCGCGGGCTGCGCAGTGTATCCCCAAGAGACGGTCAAGTCAGTACCGCATGACTGGTTGGACCAGCTCTCGGTAGCAGCATTGGAGCCCGGCATGCGGATAACAGTGCAGTGCTCGGTCTTGCCATCTGCGGTGACGTCGAAGTTGTAGTCGCAGCCGGAGTTTCCGTCGATGCAGTAGCGGATTAGGTTCGAGACTGTCCATGTCTTGCCCTCAACGGGCTTGGGGCTGGAGTTTGGTGTTCCGGTTACCGCAGGGCAAGGGGCAGCAGTTGGTGTAGGGGCAGCGGCTGGCTGAGATCCAGCGGATGGCGTAGGGCATGATCCGGGGTGAGCAGGGTTGCAACCTCCGGGAATGCCAGAGATGGATGAGAAAGTGGCAGCTGGGGCAGATGTTGGTGTAGGGCACGATCCGGGGTGAGCTGGGTTGCAGCCGCCGGGAATGCCGGAGATGGATGAGAAGGCCGCCGCTGAAGTAGCTGTTGAGGTTGTCTTTGGGAGGAGGGCGATTTGAGATGAGCACCATTCGCGGATGCGGGCGGCATCCTCACCGTAGCAAGCGGTCCGGTCGCATGAGCAGATGACTTCAGCAGTTCCTGCGGCGACGCACGAGTCGTAGGCAATTGTGCATTTGTCCTCACGCATGCGGAGAGTGGGAGATGCTGATGCAGCAGATGCTAGGATCAACGCGATGGCGGCAGATTTGGCGAGCATGTTGGCGAGAATGTCTTTTGGGTCCTGGGTCAAGTGGAAAAGTATGTTGTGTGTTGAGGAGATGCTGGTAGTTGTTCTCGGCTGTCGATTGATGATGGAGGACACAAACAACTGGAGATGCGATGGCTGGACTATATATTCTTTATGTACACGGCCACCACTATGTCATCCTAATTGTTGGTGGTAACGGAGTGTGATCGGATATACGGAGGAAGCACAGCTGAT